AACATATATAGAAGGTGCACAGTGTCATTCATACAAACACCAAACACCATCATGGTAACACACATGAAACTGAAATAATGCAATAAACATTCATTTAACAACATTACGTGTAACACACAACCCTAATATACAAAACTGATAAGAAAAAACTAAGAAGAAACATAGTTATTTCAACAAAAAAACATAAAATTTTAAATGTAACGCAGGGAATTCTGGGAATGTCAATTTACGGTTATTCATTGTAAATTATACAGTATTTTTCACTTCCAAAAATGGTATACTACCGTAAAATTGATGTCTAATACATGTAATTTCCAATACAGTTTTTCACCGTATATAGTAGTGGAATTTACCGTTAACCATTTAACAGGCTTTTACTGTAGCATGTTTACAGTCTTTTACCGTTAAATTCACGGTAATTTTTTACAGTGTATATAAACGTATCTGTGGACCTTTTTTTTTGTATGCTGGTGTGATGATCCATGTCTTAACTTACCCCATTCAACATTCTCCATGTTGTCTGGTTGTGAATTGTCTACTGTCTGGTTGTAAACTATGATACAATCATACAGTGCTGCAAAAGCATGCTGCTGAAATTTCTTTTTTTCCTGTTTCCAATGTAAAATAGTTAAACATTCTTACAAACAAATGTAAATTTACCAATTAAGATTATCACAAGGTTTATGGTTCCATTTGCACAGTGAAACCAACAATCCCAGAACACCTGGATGATTACAGCTACAGGTTTCCAATAGTAGCACAGATACCAACTACCATTTCAACTATTTATTTTTATGCTCTTCTGTTACCTTTTAAGTTTTAAAACGGTAATCTTCTGGCAATGAATGAAATAACATTCACCTCCATATGTGGCCTAATAAACATTTTGCAACCTACACTAATGTTCTGTGTCATCTGTTCTTTGACCATGTGTTGCACTGTACCTGGATGATACACGATGATCATTGATAAAAATGCATGGACTATTTTGATGCACAACAAACACTCATGCAACATTATTTATAGGCTAAGTCATAAAGTTCCGTAAACATATATACTCTTAATTAGGCTTTTTTATATACATAAACTGCTCCCTCCTGGTGGAATGACCTGCCCAACTCAGTTCGAGCAGCTGAGTCCTTAGCCATCTTTAAGAAACGACTAAAAACACATCTCTTCCATCTATATTTGACCCTCTAACACTTGCACTCTCAATTTGTTTTCCATCTGCTTGTTTTCTTTAAAAAAAAAAAAGGCCTCTAACACTAGCTTTCTCTATCTACTTGTTTTAGTTTTGTTGTGTATGTATGTGTAAAGCCAAGCTTCTGCTAAATGACTACATAAATAAATAAATAAAAGGGGGAATAAAGATTGGATTGTGGCCTTGATTAGCTTTTGATGAGATGTTGGTCAAATGTGTGTTGGTGTGAATGTTTGATATTATGTGAGACAGTAACATTTTGTTTTTAAAAATATGAATTCAATAGTGATTCACACTCAAAATCCAGGAAAATGTTAGTCATGGAGGATGCGATTAATAAAGTAAAGTTTTCCTGAATTTTGAGCATGAATCAATTTTTGAATCCTTGTTACAAACTAAAAAGATTTATGCACCAAAACAAGACAACATAGGATACAAGAGAGTGTGATGTTAACATCCTTGTAGAATCTGCTGTATAACATTTTGACATAATAAAGCTAAAAAAAAAACTTTTTCTTAACTTGATTCTGGCATTTGATACATGACATTGCCATTCAAAAGTTTAGGATTACTATGATTTTTTTTTTAAGAAATGTATATTTTTGTTCTTCAAGGATGCATTAATTTAATAAAAATTACAGTAAAGACATTTATAATGTAAAAAACATTTCTATTTCAAATAAATGCTGTTCTTCTGAACTTTCCATTTGTCAAGGAATCCTGTCGCTGTATAATGGTTTCCACACTTCATTAAGCAGTACAACCAATTTCAACTGTGATAATAATCTGAAATGTTTCTTGTGCAATAATTCAGCATATTAGAATGATCTCTGAAGGATCATGAGACGCTGAAGAGGAGAAGTTGAGATCTGACATCACAGGGGGAAAATCTTTATTTTAAATTGTAAAATGATTCCACAATATTAATGTTTTTTAATAGTTTTAATCTGATGCAGTTGGTGACATGAACAAAGAACCTTACAAATACAAATCCTTAGAACAGTATTGTATATATCATATCAAAACAAGCACGTATTTGTTAATACAATTATTTTTTAACACGAAATTAGTTTCTTATTCCATTCCATAAAATGCAGTGAAGTATTTGTTTTCTCATTTACAGTGTACCAAATGTAAGCTACTTTTTAAACTTGTGTCCATGCAATTTTGTTTAATCCAACATTTTGGATTAACAAAATTAACACTTTCATGCTTGTGTGTGTGGTCTTAGATTCCTATTCATAAGCCTAACAGTTTAAGAACAATCACAGCAGGATAGATGAAAAACGGTCCACAAATACAAGTTTATTTCAGCTGTTGTATTTAAATGAAAACAACTAACAACAGACACCGTTTTAAAGCATTGCAAGCTACAGCACAACGAACTGAAATCAAAGTAAATTACAATTAGTTTAAGTGTGCTGAATGTCTGCAATCAGTCAGTCAGCGACGACTGCACAAAAGGCGCATGTCCGAGAAACTCATGAATATTCATGTTTGCTCCGCCCACTGAAACCGAAAATCTCGTAACACCGGCCCCTAACTGTCTGTGGAGCGGATTCATTGGCTGAGCAGGAAGGCCGTCCCAGTAATGGGCGTGATATACTCGATGTGGGTTAGTGTGTCCATCCCGCACTCGAGCGTACGGCGCAGTTCAGTCTACAGACACACACATAGCCTTCAGACATGGATCTCGAACAGATGGGTCCCCAAACCTTCCTGTACGGTATGTAATGCGTTAAACACTTATCTTGATCCGTTCTTGTCATATAGTCTATTAGCTCACACGTAGAGTACGTAAACGTGGTAAACTAGTAAGTTACGCAAACTGAGCATGGCGTAGTGTAAGTTAGTTGCCAGCCAACTACCCCGTTATATTGTCAGACTTAAATTGCTTCGCAGCACATGTTGATGTGTTAACTGGTATAAATACATTGTAATATCGATGTTACTCGATGTGGCGTGACATTAAACAACACGTGTTAGTTAGAGCATGAATTCGCACTAGCTAATCGGTTAGCACTACAGTCAGCAATTAACCTGAGACCCGTTTATCTTTGCTCTAGCCTTTATAGCTGACTTCGTAATAAACTTCTGAATTGAATGTATTGAAGCAAAGAAACGAAACCTCCACAGCTCGTGTCCCCCTGCACGCGCTCTCTAAACACGTGCACTGGTCATGGCGCTCCAAAATGGCGCCACTGTGCTACACGTGTTAGATGAGACAATAGCATGCAACTTAAATTGATTTTCTTCGTTATATGTGATAAGTCAAATGGATGCTAATTAAGTACGTTTTTTTTTTCCTAGTTTCGTTTTCCTAACAGACACACCCAGGCCTTTTGCTCTCACAAACCTTGCCACGTGTAGTTCCTTGCTTCCACATGAAACCATTGACTGCATTGTGTTAGTTTTGTTGCAGCAACGCGGTTTTAAATATGATTCTCTCGTTCTTTGGAGCCAGATTATTTCAATGGATTGGATCACGAAACCGGACGGAATGATTCCTTCACGAATCGGATTGAATCAGACCGAGCGTTTCACTGACTCATTTATTAAACCAAGATCTGTAGGGACCACGTGCCGATGTAAATGAATCACTTAATTGGTTTGAAGAGAGAATTGCTCGAGAATACTGGTTTGCAGAATTTAGTTACACTTTCCATCACAGGAGGGACCTTAATGCTTTTTAAAGAACTTTAATAAACTTGTTTTTTTGTTTTTATAGGTTGTGAGCTCAAGGCAGGCAAGGAAGTCAATTTTAATCCAGAGGATGATGATGATTATGATCATCAGTTATCAGTCAGAATGGTACGTGGCCTTTTTTTAAATGGTCTTCCAATTTTTACTAACATTTAAATTTCATATAGAAGGCATTTGCTTATTTGTTCATTGTTGCAGGCCTGTGTTGATCCCACAACAAAAGACGAACTGAACATTGTGGAGATCGAAGGGCAAGATTCAGAGGGTCAGACGGTCAAAGCAGTTCTGGCCACACTCAGGCCTTCCACTCTCCCCAGCGTAAGAAGAATGTCCATCCATAGAGCAATGTCATTTCACACATCTTTTGGGTATACTTTTAGTTGCTCTCCTTGAATTGCTCTTGTTAACTAAAGATGTGTTTGTATCGCAGGTGTGTTTGGGTGGGTTTGAGATCACTCCACCTGTTGTGTTCCGCCTACGCTCTGGTTCCGGTCCAGTTCACATTAGTGGACAGCATCTCGTCAGTGAGTACTTCATAATACTTGAGGAAGTGTATGATTATTTGGGATCGTCTCAAATAAAAGCATGGAAAACTGCTTTGGGAATTTTCAGGAAGTTTCTTATTGGTACTTTTCTTTCAGTCATGGGAGGAGACCAGTCCTTTGATGAAGAAGAGGAGGAGGAGGAGGAGGAAGAAGAGGAGACATTGACAACGGCTAAGAAGAGGCCAGCATCGGTGACTCAGAAGCCTTCAGTAAGTTCTGGAATTAATTAGGGTCCTTTCATTGATATGTATGTGTAATTTTGTGGCTCATTTTCAAACCAACGTTCTCTCGTAGAAAAAAATGAAGTTGGATGAAGAGGAGGATGATGAGGATGAGTACGTGTTGTCTTTGCCATCTATGTAAAGTCATAGGTACTTAGTATTTTAGAAATAGTATTTCAAAAATAAGGAAATGTAATATCATTTTACTTTCCAGAGATGATGATGATGAGGAGGATGATGATGAGGAGGAAAGTGAAGAAGAGTCTCCTGTAAAGGTGAAATGAGTTAATCAGGCCCTACATCTTGTAGAATGTTTAAAACTGTGATCAGAAATGCTTATTTTCCTAATTGTTCTGTCAGGAAAAGAAGGCACCATCCAAACCACAGACCCCTGCACAGAATGGAAAAGGACCCAAGCCCAATACGCCTGCTAAACAACAGAACAAGACTCCTGAAAAGAACAAAAAGGATGACAAGAAAACACAGTCGCCCAAAACGCCACAGACACCACGGGTTTTCACTGTCCCAGAGATCAAAGCCAAAATTATGGCGAGTGTAGAAAAGGTATGTTTTCCTTTGCATCCTCTCTGAACGGTCCACAAATACAAGTTTATTTCAGCTGTTGTATTTAAATGAAAACAACTAACAACAGACACCGTTTTAAAGCATTGCAAGCTACAGCACAACGAACTGAAATCAAAGTAAATTACAATTAGTTTAAGTGTGCTGAATGTCTGCAATCAGTCAGTCAGCGACGACTGCACAAAAGGCGCATGTCCGAGAAACTCATGAATATTCATGTTTGCTCCGCCCACTGAAACCGAAAATCTCGTAACACCGGCCCCTAACTGTCTGTGGAGCGGATTCATTGGCTGAGCAGGAAGGCCGTCCCAGTAATGGGCGTGATATACTCGATGTGGGTTAGTGTGTCCATCCCGCACTCGAGCGTACGGCGCAGTTCAGTCTACAGACACACACATAGCCTTCAGACATGGATCTCGAACAGATGGGTCCCCAAACCTTCCTGTACGGTATGTAATGCGTTAAACACTTATCTTGATCCGTTCTTGTCATATAGTCTATTAGCTCACACGTAGAGTACGTAAACGTGGTAAACTAGTAAGTTACGCAAACTGAGCATGGCGTAGTGTAAGTTAGTTGCCAGCCAACTACCCCGTTATATTGTCAGACTTAAATTGCTTCGCAGCACATGTTGATGTGTTAACTGGTATAAATACATTGTAATATCGATGTTACTCGATGTGGCGTGACATTAAACAACACGTGTTAGTTAGAGCATGAATTCGCACTAGCTAATCGGTTAGCACTACAGTCAGCAATTAACCTGAGACCCGTTTATCTTTGCTCTAGCCTTTATAGCTGACTTCGTAATAAACTTCTGAATTGAATGTATTGAAGCAAAGAAACGAAACCTCCACAGCTCGTGTCCCCCTGCACGCGCTCTCTAAACACGTGCACTGGTCATGGCGCTCCAAAATGGCGCCACTGTGCTACACGTGTTAGATGAGACAATAGCATGCAACTTAAATTGATTTTCTTCGTTATATGTGATAAGTCAAATGGATGCTAATTAAGTACGTTTTTTTTTTCCTAGTTTCGTTTTCCTAACAGACACACCCAGGCCTTTTGCTCTCACAAACCTTGCCACGTGTAGTTCCTTGCTTCCACATGAAACCATTGACTGCATTGTGTTAGTTTTGTTGCAGCAACGCGGTTTTAAATATGATTCTCTCGTTCTTTGGAGCCAGATTATTTCAATGGATTGGATCACGAAACCGGACGGAATGATTCCTTCACGAATCGGATTGAATCAGACCGAGCGTTTCACTGACTCATTTATTAAACCAAGATCTGTAGGGACCACGTGCCGATGTAAATGAATCACTTAATTGGTTTGAAGAGAGAATTGCTCGAGAATACTGGTTTGCAGAATTTAGTTACACTTTCCATCACAGGAGGGACCTTAATGCTTTTTAAAGAACTTTAATAAACTTGTTTTTTTGTTTTTATAGGTTGTGAGCTCAAGGCAGGCAAGGAAGTCAATTTTAATCCAGAGGATGATGATGATTATGATCATCAGTTATCAGTCAGAATGGTACGTGGCCTTTTTTTAAATGGTCTTCCAATTTTTACTAACATTTAAATTTCATATAGAAGGCATTTGCTTATTTGTTCATTGTTGCAGGCCTGTGTTGATCCCACAACAAAAGACGAACTGAACATTGTGGAGATCGAAGGGCAAGATTCAGAGGGTCAGACGGTCAAAGCAGTTCTGGCCACACTCAGGCCTTCCACTCTCCCCAGCGTAAGAAGAATGTCCATCCATAGAGCAATGTCATTTCACACATCTTTTGGGTATACTTTTAGTTGCTCTCCTTGAATTGCTCTTGTTAACTAAAGATGTGTTTGTATCGCAGGTGTGTTTGGGTGGGTTTGAGATCACTCCACCTGTTGTGTTCCGCCTACGCTCTGGTTCCGGTCCAGTTCACATTAGTGGACAGCATCTCGTCAGTGAGTACTTCATAATACTTGAGGAAGTGTATGATTATTTGGGATCGTCTCAAATAAAAGCATGGAAAACTGCTTTGGGAATTTTCAGGAAGTTTCTTATTGGTACTTTTCTTTCAGTCATGGGAGGAGACCAGTCCTTTGATGAAGAAGAGGAGGAGGAGGAGGAGGAAGAAGAGGAGACATTGACAACGGCTAAGAAGAGGCCAGCATCGGTGACTCAGAAGCCTTCAGTAAGTTCTGGAATTAATTAGGGTCCTTTCATTGATATGTATGTGTAATTTTGTGGCTCATTTTCAAACCAACGTTCTCTCGTAGAAAAAAATGAAGTTGGATGAAGAGGAGGATGATGAGGATGAGTACGTGTTGTCTTTGCCATCTATGTAAAGTCATAGGTACTTAGTATTTTAGAAATAGTATTTCAAAAATAAGGAAATGTAATATCATTTTACTTTCCAGAGATGATGATGATGAGGAGGATGATGATGAGGAGGAAAGTGAAGAAGAGTCTCCTGTAAAGGTGAAATGAGTTAATCAGGCCCTACATCTTGTAGAATGTTTAAAACTGTGATCAGAAATGCTTATTTTCCTAATTGTTCTGTCAGGAAAAGAAGGCACCATCCAAACCACAGACCCCTGCACAGAATGGAAAAGGACCCAAGCCCAATACGCCTGCTAAACAACAGAACAAGACTCCTGAAAAGAACAAAAAGGATGACAAGAAAACACAGTCGCCCAAAACGCCACAGACACCACGGGTTTTCACTGTCCCAGAGATCAAAGCCAAAATTATGGCGAGTGTAGAAAAGGTATGTTTTCCTTTGCATCCTCTCTGCATATGAAGTCTCAAGGAACTATCATCCTTCTATGCTTTGGGATACAATGGGAAAAGTTTGATTTGTGCATGATATTATTGAAAAGGGAAAAAAAATCATACCAGAAAATAGCACTCATGTTTTGTTTTTTTGTTTTTTCAGGGTGTAGCATTGCCATGCTTACAGCCAAAGTTTGAGAACTTCGTAAAGCACGGCTTAAAAGTCACAGACGCAAAGGTATATCCATTTTTCTTGTCATGTTGTGTTTTGATATTGATATTTGTCAGTGAGAAAAAAAAGAACACAGGGATTAAAGTTCGGATTTCCGTCAGTTCATAAAGACGGTCACTTGCTTCATTACTGAATGATTCAGCCGTTCGTACGAATCAATTAAATGAATGAATCCGTGATAAAAATCAGTGACTTGCCGCCACCTTCTGGTGGATTTACATTTTTAGCTTATAATTTCAGTTATTTAAATCATGTTTCTGTATTCAAAATTTTGTTTAAAACATTAATCTCCACATGAATTTATGAATTTAATTGCACTCATGCTACATCGGAGCCTCATTAAACGTCTGAAAATGTACCTACAAGCCACTTTTGTGTTACTCTGTGCCATCTCTGTAGTACAAATTAATTTATTAATACTAATTTCATATGATTGGTAACTTATTTATCTTATTCTACTTATTATATTGCAGGGGTTAAAGCAAAAAAAAAAAAATATTTTGACTGAGAATTTTTCTTCGACCAAACCCCATTCCTCAGCCATACACCCATTCCAACGCACACCCAGTTTAAGAGCCTTTTTTTTTTCTTGTAATTAGGAGCACTTGTCCTCATAATTAAAACATTTAGGAGTACCTTCTGATCAATAATCAAAAATTCTGATAAAAAAATTAGCCTTCCTAATGCGAGGTGACATTTGACTCCTTAAAGTGACTTACAGGAGTATTTTCTTTTTACCTTTTGTAATGGCATTATTTTCATCTGTCAAATGCAAAAATGTATGTTTATAATCTTTTTTTAAAATTTCTATTTAAAACAATATGTAAAATAAGATTAAGTTACCAATCATATGAAAGTAGTATTAATAAATTAATTGGTGGCACAGAAGAACACAAAAGTGGCTTGTAGGTACATTTTTAGACGTTTAATGAGGCTCAGGTAGCATGAGTGCAGTTAAATTCATGTGGAGATTTATGTTTTAAATATAAAATTTTGAATACAGAAATATGATTCAAATAACTGAAATTATAAGCAAAAAAATGAAACTACATCCGCCAGCAGGTGGCGGCAAGTCATTGATTTTATCACTGAATCATTCATTTAATTGATTTGTTCGAACAGCTGAATCATTCAATAATGAAGCAAGTTACTGTCTTTATGAACTGAAGGAAATCTGTCGTAGCGACGGAACTTTAACCCCTGAGAACATCTAAGACACGTTTTTTTGTTTGTTTATCAAACACTGCAAATTTAGATTAGGCATACAGTAGTTTTTCAAATATTTATGAAATTAAGATAACTGCTTCATTGCTTTTTGTCTAAGAAATAATGTTTTAATGATATTCATTATGATATTGGGACACCCAGGTTTTTTGGCCGCCAGATGTTTAAAATAAATTAAAAAGTAAAAGCATGTTAATTATCAAAGAGGTGTATTCAAGTCATTGTATGCTTGAATTAATTATAATAAACTAATAGACGCTAGCATAAGGAACATATTAGGAACCGTCATGAATGAATGTCTTACCTGTACTTCTGTTTTGTTTTTCCCCCCAAGGTAATCGAGGAGCTCTGGAAGTGGAGACAGAGTGTAAAATAAAAGCTAAACCATCTTTTGTTTTGCTTAAATTATTAGGCGCTCCCCCTTTTTTTCTTCTTTTTGACCATGATTTTACTTTTTTTGTTACCTGCAGTTTTAAGTTCGTCCT